AATGAGAACTTTAAACGTTTTTAAGCTGGGAGGACAGATTTTTCGGACAATATTGCATTGATTTATGATTTGATGGTAGCTTCACAAGCATATCTTTTTAGGAAGTACCTAGCCATTTTTCGATTAAATGTGAACTTTTTTTAAATAATTTTAGCCACAAATAAGTCTTATGAAAAAAGTGTGCCGCTTCCACAAAAATTTGTTAAAAAAATAAATCCGCAAGTATTTTGAAAAACCATAGTTTGCAGATCATAAAACTTCTTGCTTTTCCTCTCTAGGTCTCATCATTTAGAAGAAACCGGACGCCTTTCAAAAAACATGGATTTGCGGTTTTGTAACAAAATAATAATAAAGAAAATTAAAGGCTTTATTGCGAAAAAGTGCTTACAGATATATCAATCAAAGTCTTGTCCTTCGCTAGCGACAACTTTCTCCCATCTTTCCGGCAATTTTCGGATACCGGCTCGAAAAAAGAGTCCTCTTTTGACGCTATCCATGAATTAATATATTTTTCCAATTCTTCGAAGGATTTAAAATGTTGATCTGCCAGGCCGTGTGCCATCGAACGGAATAGGTGGAAGCCAGAAGGGGCAACATCTGGGGAATACGGCGGGTGGGGCAAGACTTCCCATTTCAGCGTTTCCAGGTACTTTTTGACCACTTTTGCGACGTGAGGCCGAGCATTGTCGTGTTGGAGGATGACTTTGTCATGTCGCTGATATTGTGGCCGCATTTCTTTTAGCGCGCGACTAAGGCGCATCAGTTGCGTTCGGTAGCGATCTCCTGCGATGGTTTCACCCGGTTTTAAGAGCTCGTAGTAAATCACACCGAGCTGATCCCACCAAATACAAATCATAACCACCATGTTTGTCTTCGACATCGAAATCACCATTTTTAAAACGTTGAAACCACTCCCGACACGTTCTTTCACTCAGAGCAGCATCACCGTAAGTTTCTGAGAGCATTCGATGCGCTGCAGTTTTTTTCGAATTGTAACAGAAAAGTAAAACTTCCCGCAAATGGCGAGAATTGGGCAAATAAACGGACATTTTCGATCGTGAATAATACGAAAACAAGTACAACTGTCACTGAAACGGCGATGACAATTCATTAGGCACTGTCCACACTCACTTTAAAGGCATTATCATCTACGTATTTCAACCAGCCTCAGCCGGTACAGCCACCTATCGGAAAACGGCGGAAGCAAAGTTGTGGACCTGATACTTCAATATATGTACAATGAAATGATTAAATAGAAATTCTATTCCTTTTCTCATATTCCTACAATAAATTTTTAAAAATGAGTCTAGTTTTCAACCTCTTGAGTGGCTTTACCCTTTAATTTTGTTTCATTTAATTTAGTTTTTTTATTTTATTTTGTTTAATTAAATTTTTTTTTTTTTTTTTTTTATCGTATTATGTTTAGTTTTTATTTGTTTTATTTATTCTTTTTCTTTTCGTTTGTTATATTTCATTTTATTTCATTACTCATTTTTATTTTTATTTTCTCTTATTTAATTATTTATTTATACTTCTTTAAATTTTTTATTTTTTTACAATTTCTAGTTTTCCTATAATTTAACTGATTTTTTATTCCCTTTAATATTATTTAGTTTGATTTATTTTTATACCATTTTTTCTAATTTATTGTTAATTTTTTAAAATTTATTTAAATTAGTTTTATTTTTTCTATTAAATGAAATCAAATTTTTTTATTATTACAAGTTAAATTTAATTTAAGTTAATTTAGCTAAATTTTGTTCCTCTAACTTCATCTTATTAAATGGAATTTAATTAAAATTATTTTATTTTAATTTATATCAGTTTATTTAATTCAATTTAAATTTGTTTCAATATATTGAATTAAATTATTTGAATGCTTTTTATATTTTATTTTACTTTATTTTGTTTAACTTATTTTCCTTTTTGATTTTATTTCATTAAATTTCATTTCATTTTATTTTAATTACCATACATTTTTTTCACATTTCCCATTCTTCCGACCGAATTAATTCTTTAACGTTAATAATGCTATTATCTACACCGTTAAGTATTTACTACACTAAAGAGTCCTTAAGCTAAGCAATCAGCATAAATTTTCACATATCCGGTTGTGGCGGTATAAAAGTGGCAGGGAAAAAGTGGTGATTGTGGAGAATCAACATTCCAACATAAGTACATTCTTCGAGCTACAGCATGCAGTTATTAACTAAGTAGAAGTCTTTATGTAAAAGTTGGCGTTAAGAGGCACTTAAAAGTTGGCATTGAGTGGAACAAACGGGCTTAACGAATTGCTCCACCAATGGAATTCATAAAATGCATAATAATAATAATAATAGCAACAACTGGTTTTAGCCTTGAGCAAGCAGTTTCCGAGGCTCCTTAGGATGAGTAAGGTATTTTTCAGAAGATTCATAAAATAAAATGTATTCATACATGTTTAGATGCATATGTACGAGTATGTATGTATGTAGTGTTATAGAAATGTAACAAGTTAACATCTGAGAATATATACATATATACATACTAGAGTTTAATATTATTTTAGATCACCAGATATCTTCTTAGGTAGTAGAAGCAAGAGAAAGAATTCAATTCGAAGATCATCTAGGAGTTTTAAACATTTGACGTCTCCAAAAGAAAGTCCGGAAATTGATTTAGCAAAAACGGCTGGACAAAGAACGGACCCGATAAATATAGGATTGTGGTTTACAATTCCTTCATATTCCTCTTCTAGTAATTATGTATGCAAATAGTTCAGTCTCTTAGCGTTTCCATTGCCTTGTCTTTCGTGAGTTCGAATTCCATGCCAGAAATTCCCATGTCAACTGCATTGATAACCTCCTCCAAAGTGAAATCCTTTCTTCCACGCACATTTGCATTCAATTTAAATTCACGCTTAATGCAATCGACATTCGCTGTGGGGATAACTTGCAACATCAAGTGACAGCTTGCCGGACAGCAATTGAAGAGCACTGCACTTAGTTAATTAGGTTTATTGAAATTTCTCACGGGAAAAGCACATCAATTGCTCCATTCAGAATGATGTGTCCAGTGCTAGCGAATTCCATAACCATCACATTGTGTTAGGTGACAATTGCGATGAACGGTACTGTTAGCGCCTTGCGCCGAGTACAAGTGCTTCATGCTGCCCAACACCTCTGACAAAGTATCGCATGCATAAATTCATGCATTTAATTTATAGCATCTACATATGTACATGCATAGGTGAGCAGATTGGCCGCCTGCTCAAGTCGTCTCCGTCTCCGTCTCCGTCTCCGCCACCGCATACTAGCTGTCTTGCAAGCATTTTATCCATATCTTTTTTGTGCTGTAACCAAAATCAGATTTAACAGCAACACAAATCGCAACCAAATGTAGCGTAACGAGTTCGTCGTCGTCGACTTGTCATAAATGCTTTGCTTTTGGTTAGACGCGCCAAAACTACACGCCACATTGTGCTAAAATGGCTGTAGTCGCTAATAGCGTACCAATCTGATCTGATCCAAAACCATGATCAGCTGTGATCGGCAATATCTCTCCACTCAATGCAGTGGCGGCATTCTTGTGGCACGCTAAGTCAGCCGAGTGTGTGGACGAGAAGTAGTAGGATTTTCAAGCTCATTATAGCAAATCAATGTCGCGTTCGCTAACGAGCACTGTCCACCTGAAAGAGGAGTACGAGCGATTCAATGCTCAGTCAAGTAGGAATGTACGGTTTTGTGGTTTTGTGCGCTTTCGTTATGAGTATAAACGTGTGGTCGCAATAGTCGAGCTGTTGGCAGTGTGTACTGCCATTCGGAAGACTCGGGTTCAAATCTCGGTGCCTTACTAACATACAAAAAGTTATGGAAAATTAAATCGAAATAAAAAAATTAAGCTACTTTTTCTGATTACGGTTGCCCCTCGGTAGGGAATGCCAACCCCTCCGAGTGTATTTATGACACGAAATAATGGCTTCTCATAAACAAAATCATCAGCCGTCCGGAGGCGGCTTAGTATAAATTGTAGTTCCCTCCATTTGTTGGAGAAACATCGAGTCTGAAGAAAGCCGACATCATGGTGCGGTTGTTGGAGCCAACGATGCCAATAACAACGGAGGTCGTCAGCCGCTGTACACTTTTAAGTAAATTTGTTCTTTCTCTATTCTGCTCTGAAGCTTACATTAGTGTCTCCAGCAGTAGTCAGGTGACTTCATTAAGTCAAACGATAAGGAGTCACCTTGGAATGGTTTCTTATTGTTCCTGAGGAAGCTTTTGGTATTGCTTAACGTCAGTTTACACATCCGTATAAGTTATGCGCGGATACCAAATTTAGACATAGCGCCGTAGGGGCAGCTCCTTTTCGTGCTGTTAAAGACGAAGAGGTGGTGTGAGGCGATCCTCTTTTCAGGAGATTTTTCCAAGATTTGGCGCATAGTGAATATCTGGTTAATGGTGGATTTACTAGGTCTTTTTACGGAAGACTGTAGTCTTTAAGAATACACTCGACCTTAAAGCCGTTATTGAGATGGCTTATCACACAGTAGAGCAATGGGAAATATAATATATTCCATTGTCGTCGCCATCGGTCATCGTTACATATAACCGAGCATAAAAATTTTTTTTGTAATTTGTGATGCTAATTTGGCCGTGTTGCGGGTCCATGACTTTCCGCGTTGTACTAGGCACTGCTACACTGCTAACGAAGTTCTTGCTGGTATACATATATATGTATGTATATATTAATCACATTCAATAAATTATGTTCTTGGTTTCTTTTATTGGTTTTAATTCCATTTATTGTATTTATAGCCCCACATGTCGAAGTCATCTGCGCATCAGTCTAGTTAAAAGCTTTCACCACTTTCTTTTTCAACATTCGCTAAAATTTGCATACCAAAACGAATTTTCAAAACACATTAATGAGAGCGTCAAACAGTACTCAGTTTGGATCGCTTAGTGGAAGTTCAGCAAAGCTTTCTTCACAAAAATTAAAAGCAGTTCAATTTGAAAACGAAGATGAAACGGACGTTAACGCTGCTCACAGTACTCGCCTGCTGCGCTCATAGCCTCGCCGCCACTAGTGACGATAGCGAGGAAGATGAGGCTGGTTTGGAATTCATTAAAGTAGACAATGAGTCACCACAACAAACTGTAACACTCATAAATTTCACCAATGCCACCATAATTGGGCAGTTTACTAACAGTAATGTCAGCGCGGTGGTGGACGCCAATAATCATCGTATCGTTGGTGGACGTCAGATTTCAATCAGCGAAGCACCTTGGCAGGGAGCGCTCATCCAGTCGAACGTTTTCGTATGTGGCTGTTCGCTCATTAACCCATCCTGGGTGTTGACCGCTGCGCACTGTGTCTATGGTAACGCGAGTAGACGTCATGCGGTACGCGTCGGCTCGGACAATTTCAAAACTGGTGGACAGTTACGCATAATCGATCGTGTCACCTATCACGGTAGTTTTAATTCCAAAACGGGGGCTAATGATATTGCATTGTTACGCACAAGTCGCCCCTTTAAATTTAATCAAAATGTGCAAGCTGTCCGTTTGCCGAGTAGTGATAATGAGCCGAACTCCTATTTCGTTAGCGGTTGGGGTACGCTTAACGATCGCAGCACAAGGCCAATGAAATACTTGCGTGGCGTTAATTTGTATCCTGTGAATAGAAAATCCTGTGCGAATTCATATCGTGGTGTAAGTTCCATTACCGATAAACAGTTGTGTGCTTATGCGCCCAACCAAGACAGTTGTCAGGGCGATTCGGGCGGCGCTTTGACAAACCAAGGCGTGCAATATGGCATTGTGTCTTTCGGCAATGGCTGTGGGCGTGCTGACTATCCTGGCGTTTATACCAATGTGTTTAAGTATCGTACGTGGATAAAGGCCGTGACCAAGTCGTTGAGCCCGAATAATAATTATAATTTATCATTTAATCATTAATATTTGTCATATGATTTCAATAAAGATTTTATTTATTTGAGGAGTGAATTTTTTTTTATTATTTTAGACATCTGGTATGTATTGGAGGAGAGCCGTTTTAATTTAATTTTTTTTATCTACTCTTTTTGTGATTAATTTTGCTTAGTTATTCGGAAAGACCACATCCTGAATAGGGTCAACCTCTTCTCTGGTGCGGCAAATCACTTCCCGGCGCTGACTCTAATACACGCTTTCTTTAACGACGAACCCAGTGATACCCACCTTCCGCCCAACCGACCGAGCCGCCCTGAACCCGTGAGAGCGTTGTTCATCAGCTGCTATAAAATTACATGGGAAGAAGCAGGAAGAAATTTACTTAATTATTTAAAGCTCTTAGTAAGTAGGTTCTGATACAGAAAAGCCAGAGAGAGAGTCAGAGGAATCAATGTTGGTGAAATGTGTATCAAAATCGTTACAAAAAAAATTCTAAAAGGGTAGTGAATTTCAATGTTTGTTCTGCATGAACACAATGAAAGTGGCCTAAAGTGTCTAGATGATCTTAAAGGGATGGTAAAGTTATGCTCGTTAAGTAGGAATGGGTGTCTGAAAACAGATGGAACCGAGGGAATAGGTAGGTAGGTAGAAAGGCAATTCTAACCAAGGGTTCTTAGCTTCGGTCTTAAGTAGTGTGGGTAGCGCCGTTTTGATATACTATCGTCAGTCCTTAATATATTTGCTATCACGTCTCCATGTAGTGTTCAAACCCTTTAGTGTTCTTAATGAAACTACTTATATCTGAAATGCTTTTAGACGATAGCCATTCAAGGTTTGGTGCCTTTTGTATTCCAAGTGTTTCCTTAATCCCTTCTAAGGGCTACTATAGGGTAGGCCAATGCCACGTTAAAGTAATAGCTAGCTCTATATATACTTTCCCTTTTTTTAGTAGGTTCTTTGTTCCATTTCCTTTCCTTTCATTTCCCTAGTAAAAGTGCACCTCACTGACATTTTACACAGATTGTCCGAGAAGTGTAGAGTGCCAAGTGAACGAAATGTATACGAGGATATTAACAAAAGTTCGATCAATTGGTGACTTTCAATTTGTTTTTGTTAAATCTGATAAAACCAAATCCTTTGCAGTTACTTTGTTAGTCCTCCTTTCAAATTTTAGAACGATCGGCTAAAATAGAGACGAGAAAACACAGGGCAGCTGAGGACAGGTCAGAAGAAGTTGTACTACCAACGCAAACTGAATTTCGCCAAGTGATTCTCTACGGGTTTCGGCGTAATTTACTCCCAATAAAAATATTCAGTGAATGCCAAATGGCATATAGAACGTTTGCACCGTCTTAAAAGACTATTTCTAAGTGGTTTCGAAGATTCCACAGCGAAAATTCTTCCGTATAGGACGAGCTCCGAGAAGTTTGACCAAAATCTTCTACTGATGACGTCACTGTAGCTCTGGTGAAGTCTAATACTGACAAAGGCCCACGACTGACACAAGATATGATTGCTAATCGTGAATAATAAGTTATCATCTGGAATACACGAAGAAATCTACTTTATGGGTACCACGATTTTTAAATGAGGCTCAAAAAGAGGCTCAAGTGAATTTTAATAAATTTTTTCTAAACAAATTCGAAAATGGTCAGTTTAGTTACTTTAATAAAGTCGTTACTTGTGACAAATAATGGTTCCTTAAGTACGATCCAGAAACCCAACACCAGTCCACGGTATGGAACCCAACAGGAGCAAATCCCGTTCACGTAAAATCTAAGCCACAAAAATCACCAGCAAAAGTAATGATGTCAGTTTACCTCACCCGATCTAAAATCGTAGCTGCTTATCCACTGGAAAAGGGTCGGATGCTAACTGCAAAATGGTACACCGAAAAGTGCTTACCAAAAGTTATCAAAAATTTGTTGGAAAACAGTAAGAAAGAGGATTTGCGGCGCTACCTTCTACAATACATCACGACAACGCCTATCCCACACTGGTGAAATAACGAGAAATTTTATAATGATCTCTGGTATCTTAGAAATACGCCCAACACCATATTCCCTGGATATAGTACCCTGTGATTTCTGGTTATTTCCAAAAGTTAAGGAAATTTCTTTAATAGCAGCGGGTAGATAATTAACGCGGTTAATGCTGAGCTTGATAAGCTTACGAAGCGAGATTTTGAAAACTGTTTTCAGAAGTGGATCTATAGGCTTGAGAAATGCATTGAACTCAATGGCGATTTTGTAAGGAAGATAAAAAAAGACAAAAACAGCGAGTAAATACAAAAATAGTTTTTTTTTCTGTTCAACTTACCGAACTTTTGTTAATCCCCTCGCATATGCCTCATTCTACTTTTGCGAATTTTGCCACAGTCGCCAGGAGGCTATTCAGACCAACAATCATATTTACACAATAATAAAAAAGAAATCCACCAACAAAGCTATAATAAACGCATTAATGGGACAAAAATAGTTTGATCCAACATTAAAACCGTATTTATTTGCGCCAATTTTACAGAACAATTAATTAGAAAACGTAATTAAGTGAAATCGCTCGAGGCGAACACAACACCACTCGTTCGAATGGAAAGCTCCAGCTGGGCTGCGCCATTGGGATTACAAACACCAAACGACTGAGCAGCGATGTGTTGCGTTGCGAGGAAGGAAAAAAGAAAACGAGGTGTCCTGCTGTGTACACAACGAGTGGAGAGTAAAGTCAATGTGCAGCGCTTTTAAGGCCAAACGATGGGGGATTGGGAAGCGAAAAACAGCAGTCTCCGGCAAGTAGTAGTCGCTTGGTTGAATGAGCATGTAATTTAGTTCGGTTTCCAGTTGGCGATGCCACTTGTACAACATGAAAAAAGAAGTAGAAAAAATAAAGCATCGAAAGAGTGGTTGCCAAAAAACCGCGCTGGAAGAACAAGTGAAAACACAACAGAGCAAAAAGAAAAAGGTATCATTGGAGTTTTAGAAAAATAGACAAAACATTTCATTTGCTTGTCGACAGCGTACACAGTAGCCACAAGTTTGCAGCAAACATGCCAGTCACAGTTGCAACAACAGTTCTGTTAGATTGTCGCGTCTTGCGCTACAACCAAACGGTTGCTGCTAAAGCCGTTCGTTTTCGTCGTTTCACGATTTTTCATTTGTTTTCTTCATGGCCAACATGTTAATCCAACTGAGGGAGCTGCGCTTGCCGGATGCGCCGTGGCCCGTTCGGAATGTGCCCGTTCGTTGACATTTTCCGACACCGTCCGTGGCAAGGCAACATGACATTTGACAGTAGAAATGTCCGCTGGCCGATCAGTGTCGCACAAAGAGTGCTATGACAGTGTCTGCAACTCTCCAGCTCCTCAAATGGAAATTGGCAATTAGAAATTGGTAGCAATTGACAACTTCCAACTGCGCGATATACTCGTACATACTCGTCTATATATATTTTCATAAGCATTTTACATACTTATTTGTACATATTTATGTGTGAGTATATATGGTATTATATTCGCCTCTACAATAAGTGGACATAGTGCTTCTGGCATTTACAAGTTGCCACCGTTCGGTTACATGCGCGACATTAGTGCTGATGTGACACAGCGAGTGGCAGAGTGGCAGTCGTAACATGCACTTTACATGCATTGCCCGAATTGACAAGATGCCGCGATACTCCATTCTCCTCTGTCGGTGTGTGTGTGCATGCCCGTCAGTTGTTGCAGTTGTGAAAATAGACTGGCAACTAGGAGGGCACCAGCCCCAGCACCAGCTCCAGCACTACAAATGCCAAATGTCAGCCGATGACAGTGTAGATTTGGAAGATAAGACATTATGCTGCGCGCTGTGTGTATTCGAGTAGCAGAGATTCAGATGTGATAAAAGGCGATAATATCTGAAAGGCGCCCACTTCCGTATGAGGCTACTAATAAGTGCTTGGTTAATATGTTTAGGGTAATTGCGCAAACGTAATAGACGTCAAACGGCTCCGATTGGCTCTTGGTGGCAGTAGCAGCCGAGTGGATGATAGAGCGTAATACCATGCGGAAGCGGAAGATCCCCATGGGTTAGGGATAAACGTCCACTCACTATAGAAAATTTATTTTAAAGTAAATTTTTCTAACTGAAATCGACCCTTCACAGGGTGTGTCAACCCCTCCGAGTAAATTTTTAGCTTGAAATAAAAGTTCCTCATAAGAATCCATCGGCAGTTCGGAGGTAGCTTAGGAAAAGCTGTTGGTCTATTCTTCTTGGAAAAACATCAAGACCCATATCCCAATTTGTAGAAACACCTCTGCCGAAAATTGCTTCAGCGATTATATAGCATCGATATTATAAGCCGTTCTTCTACCACCACCAATCGAGTGGTTGGCTGCGATACTGATCGAAACGAAATTGGAAATTTAAAAGTGAGACAACTCAACTGTTTAAACTAATTAAGCCAACCAGCTCCAACGAACTAGCCGCTGATATGTATTTTTGATATTTCAGCGAAGAATGAGATAAACGAAGAGTTCCAGAAGTTGGCCGACCTGCGTAAAACTCGAAAGTTCTCGATATGATGCGACGACTGACAGAATGTTTCAAGACCGGAGCATATCCATGTAGGCAGCAAATCGACGATCTGATGACCTATAACTAAAGGAAACAGAGTTTATGGAATTAACACTTCTCTAGAAATAACAAGTTGGATGATTTATTGAAGGGAGCTCGGATCAGCGTGGAAGACTTGACGCCTCAATCGGATGAAGGCACTGCACTCTGCTCAATATGACCAATTTCTCTTTTACCTTGCGCCAGCAAGGTCTGTGGTCTATCTACAATCCACGTTTAAATTGCTCTCGATTACAGCGTTTTAAACAATATCAATATTTCAAGGCACTGAAACGTCTGAGACAGCCGATTTAGATTTCACGGTTAAAGCGGTTGCCTATTTGGCGCCATAAGTAATGCGTGAACAGAGTTTTAGCCTTTGCATTTAAAGTTACCTTGCTTATTGAGGCGATCAGA